ACTTTTTAAAACTTTTAATGATGGCGAGGTGAGTGTAACATTCTAATCACAAGATCAAAATTCTGAAAAATTGTCCAGTTTCAGAAACCTCGAAATCTCTGAAACATGATTTTTTAAAATTATTTTAATTATACCAATGATATCTTCATGGCTTTTGTGGATAAGATACAGGACTAGGGTAAATTTCACCCACTGTTACTCATACCCACCAGATGGGGAGATGTTGCGTTAAACCTTGATGATGGACTAGCCTGATCATAAGATCATCTTAGTTGCTAGGCTTCATTCTGAAGTTTGTTTGAATCTTAGCCCAAAACCCTGGGCCTATACTTTCAAAAAAAGTTACTAGATCGCAAGTTCATCAGCCAATCATTGATGGCCTTTCAGCAAAATTCACCAATCATAGATAAGAAAATAGTTAGTAGTACTTACATTTATATAGCAAATTTTGAAAGTAGGCCCCCTGATATGCATCTTGCAATCAGAAGTAATCTCATTTGTGATCTATAATGCATCAATGCATTTATTCAATTATTGTTTTTTTCTTTGTGTCAATTGATATGACTTGAATTTGCCTTCGTAAAAATTAGTCAATTTTGTTATTGTAGGAAGTCTTGCTTGTAGTTCAAGTCTATTATTGTTGCCTGGCCAGTTTGCATGCCACATGCCACACACCATGCAAGCCCACATGCCAACTTGCATGCAAGCCCACATGCCACACATCATGACCTGGCACTAGATCCTTCTTGTCAGAATCTGACAGAACACATGCCAGAGTTACTCTGGATGGTGTGGCAGTCATCAGGGTTACCAGTATCAGTGAAATCTTGCTTTACACTATTTCTTGAAAACCTTCGCACCAGGTGTGGCTGTTGTCACATAGTTTTATATGGACATATTGACTAACACAATGCATCATGTATAAATTACCTGCAGCTGAGGAGTAAAAGTATTAAGAACAGACTAAACAAAGCTATGCAAGAACATACGTTCAATCTTGAAATGCTAGCACCTTACAGGCCTTGCAATAAGTCCAGCAGCTATCTCAATCAATCATCAGTTATGGAAAGATCTGGTTCAAAAGGCTGGATCCCTTGTGGAATCAAGTAAAAAAAAAGTAGAAAATTTGGCAACAAGCCAATTTCCTTAGTGCCAACACTTCTATTCCATTCTATTCTATCGTATTAGGGTGAGTCTTGTGACATGCTTTGCTCTAAAATTATACAAACTGCTGAGTTAGAACAACTCAGTAGGACGTTGTGGTGTCCTCTTGAAATGGGTTTGCAGCCCAAGACGCCTCTGCAAGCCTGATGTTGCCTGCACACTATACTTTGGTGACCTCCATTTTGTATCAGTAAGTATTTTGATTCTCCTGCTAGCAGAATAAAAAAATTGTATTATTCATTAACACCAGGATGTTGTGTGACACAGCATCTTAGTATTTAGGTTACATTTAAATGCTATTGACTCATCAGTTATAATTCTTGTCCTAATACATTTTGTACTTTCAGCGGCTGATAGACAAGACAAAGGTTACATGCGTGCGATGGGTGCCTGGCTCCGTGAACCAATTCTTGTGCTCACACCACAGCGGCAACATGTACCTCTACAATGATGAGCTCATCTGCACCCAAGACCGACCTCACTATCAGCTCTTCAAAGAGGGTGAAGGCTTCTCCATCTACACCTGCAAAACCAAGACCACACGCAACCCTCTCTACAGATGGAGTCTTGGTGACATGGCTATCAATGAATTTGCCTTCTCTCCATGTTCCAAATTCCTGGCTGTTGTGTCTCAGGACGGCTTCCTTAGGATATTTAATTTTGACACCATGGACTTGATAGGCAGCTGCCGCAGCTACTATGGAGGCCTTATATGCGTGTGTTGGTCGCCGGATGGTCGTTATGTTGTGTGTGGAGGAGAGGACGATTTACTCACCATCTGGTCATTCAGTGAGAGAAGAGTCGTCGCCAGAGGTGCTGGTCATAAGAGCTGGGTCACAGTAGTAGCTTTTGATCCATACACGACCCTCTATGGTGAGATGGACGGTGTAGTAATGCATAATGAAGAGTCCTATAATCGTAATAATTATAATAGTACAGAAAGAAGTGGTAAAGTTAGGAACAAACCTCCAATAATAAATTCGCGCCCAAATTCAGTTGTTTCTGACGGTCTTAATGCAACTTGCTATCGCCTAGGGTCTGTGGGTCAGGATACTTTATTGTGCCTCTGGGATCTCAAAGACGATTACTTAAGGCAGTCCTACTACAGACCTCGCTCTAGCACCGTAGTCAGTAACGTCGGCTCTGATGGCTGTCCCTCCAACAATACCATCGCTCATTCATCATCTTTATCAGCAAATTCCACACAAAATTGTAACAAGAGTAGCAATCATGTCAAAGATGCTAACAACTCCACTGGTCCTCCATCTGCTCTCTCATCAAATTCCCTCACCGCTAAACTAGCGAGTCTTAATTTCGTGGACCGACGAGGTGGAGACAAAACCTCAGACAAAGACCACAAAAGGAGCATGAGTTTAGCAGGCCGGAACTCCTCGAGCAACCTACACAAGAAGGACAGCAGGAGCAACAACTGCAGCAGCGCTGCTGAAGGTGACGTGTCATCGCCGTCGTTTGGCAGCAAGAGCAGCGTAGGCACGTCGCAGTGTCCTCGTATGGACGAGTGTCCGCTGCTCGAGCCTCTCGTCTCCAAGAAGATCGGGCACGAGCGCCTAACAGGGCTCGTCTTCCGCGAGGACTGCATCGTCACAGCCTGCCAGGACGGCTGCATCCACACCTGGTGTAGGCCAGGCAAGCAGGTAACTGGGACCAGGCAAGCAGGTAACTGGGACCAGGCAAGCAGGTAACTGGGACCAGGCAAGCAGGTAACTGGGACCAGGCAAGCAGGTGACTGGGACCAGGCAAGCAGGTAACTGGGACCAGGCAAGCAGGTAACTGGGGCCTGGCAAGCAGGTAACTGGGACCAGGCAAACAGGTAAATGGGACCAGGCAAGAAGGTAACTGGGACCAGGCAAGCAGGTGGTAACTGGGACCAGGCAAGCAGGTAACTGAGCCAGGACTAAATTACTTGCATCAGATATTACTATTACTTTCCTTTGTCTTTATTGTTTCTAAAATGATCACAGATCTTGTTTTGAAACATTGCAGCTGAAAATGTTTTGAGGTAACGAGTCCTTACTTTACTCATGGTGCTCCCTACTGATTCTGAGCCTGTGAAGCGTCCTGTGTAGTCAAACTATCTGACGGACAAACGCCGGTCTTTATTCTCTTGAAATATCCTAACAAATAGTGAGGCTAACTGCGAGACTTGAACGAGATCATGCAGAGGATATCGAGATCAGATGGTCTGGTACTAAAGGATGTTGTGGACTGATATATGTACCTATGTCTTGTATGTTCTATGTATGTGTTGAAAGCCTGAATATATCAAGTGTAATTACGCAGATGCTGCTGTATTGGCAAGCTCTTGTGTTTACTCTGACTGCATTTCAGGCTGGCGCTGCTCTTCACTCTAGTCCCAGCCCGTCGTCAGCGGGAATATCGCAGCCGCTAGCCGCTGGAGGGACTGTGGTGTAGCGCCACCTCATCGCCTTTATCTTCTCCTCGCTGCAACTGAACGATTTACGGCTCAGCTGTTGCTCTGTTAACCTGGCCACGAGCGTTGAAAACTCATGCGCCCCTGTTTCGTGGAGAAGTTGGTGCACAAGTCTCAGTGCATTAGTCAAACATCTTTGATACCATCCCCACCACGCCTGAAGAACTCTTCGATGAGTTGAGATCTAAGAAGCGTTCCTTCCCTCCCGCGAGTCGCCGTCACTCACGTCTGTGTTGTTGAAGGAGCGATCGTAGAGTTAGATGAGCTATGTGATTATTTTTGCATGATTTATCCTTATATGCTAGACGAGCTGGTCGTGTCTCGCCTTCTGTATGCTCCAAATGAAGCTCATGCCACTAGAGGCCATGCAAACAGTTATCTAATTTATATCTTAACTTATATATCCAAACAAGTCAAACCAAAATCTATGTAACTACATTCTATGTATAAAGTATATATAAATGTTAATGAATAAATTTAGTAAAGTGCATATGTATAGTCCTCCTGACTACCTACGCGTGAGGGTAGGAACATACCAAACTGCTTTATTATTGAGTGATTACGCGCATATTTTGTACATTGTTAGTGATCGGTCCTGCTGCAATAGGTTGAATTTGGAGTAACTTGTGCTGTAGTCCTGTTTATTGGCACAGATTTGTGAAGATACCTACTGTGGGCAACGGTGCTTTTATTGTCGGTGAATGAATTCTGGTTGCTTCTACTATGTTGCTATTTTCTGGTGTTGCGGATGATCAATTTCTTCAGTTGTTTATGCGTGTCCAAGACTTCGTGAAGATGTAATAAGTAATCCTATCTAATGCCTTCCTCTTTGGCGAGTCAGCCACGCTCACCCAGGCCAGGTTGGACCCGGAGTTCCATTACAGTCAAATGTGGAAGTCCGTGTGCATCGCGATCATCAAGGTTTGCGCGAAGAGTTTATTTCGGCCACGGTGCCACCAATAAGTGAGTGGTTAAAGGCGGTGACGTCCGTCCGCTCCTGTGACGTAACTTTCCTTGAATAAATTATCTCTGTTCTTGGCGCGATGATTTTCTGTTTGATGGGGTTTCTACAAAGGCAATTTAACTCCGCAGATTAGAAATTATTAATTTATTTAGTTGTGTGGACAATCTCGCTGCGTTTCAGTCTCGCCTTGTGCTCGCTATACCTACGACTTTCTAACTGCGTTATGTTGACTCTTTCAGCAGATGAAGCTTAAACTGGGCCGTAAATTAAAGATGAACTGAGGACATCTGCCCTCCATTCCACACGCCGCTTTCTGGCCCCATGAGTCTTGAGCGTCAGTTTCTTTAATGCTTACAAGCCTCCACAGATTTTAATTGCCCGCACTGCAGCGGTGTACGCGAGCGTCGTGCGCTGTCCACCGCCAGGCATAATGCGACGAGCCTGCGATCTCCAGGTGCCACATTGTCCCATTCAAAATATCTTATTTTACATATTTTCAATAAAGAATCGGGCATTTTTATTAGAATTTTCAAATCATTTCACTTAGAAACTAAACACATTTGTCATGTTCCTATGTTAACTATGAACTTGTTTTCTGATTTAGACATGGCACTCGAAGCTTTAAGACCGAATTCCGCTGTATCTCTTGCTTCCATCACTGCAGTCATTGTGCGTACGGTTGCTGTACAAGTGCGGTGTTCTGTACATGGTTGCATTCATTTTATCTCTTTCTAACATTCCTTCCATTCCTCCTTCTTTGAAGATGTTGCTGGTCTTTAGAATTGATTCCGATGTTTTTATTATTTTAATTGTAACGGTTGAGTTCCTGTTTATGGTTTATTTTACTAATGTCAATTTTTTCTTTTGTTCTTTTCCTCCTCAAGTCGTTACGTAATATGTTTTAGTACTTTCCAAATGAACCTCTACTAACTTGAGTAAAGGGCCATGAACCTTTTCGTAAACTTGATTATTTGCTTTTCGGAATATTCGTGTCAGATTTGATTATCCCTGCAGCGAGGGTCTGACGCATTTATCCCGAGAGCCGAGAGAAGGCCAGGCTTTGAAGTGATGTAATGGCGTGGAAGTAAATGTGCAGAGTCTGTGCAGTAACGTGTTGCATGAATTGTCTTCACCTGCTTCCATACAACTGCTTCAGATTTTTTGCAGGCTGAAATTTATCCTGGACACATGTTGCTGGTGGAGCGGTTAAGTAATGCATCAAGTTTTAAAAAATCCTTCCGGAAAATGATGTAGTTGACCGTCAAGCTACTTGCCGCGCGCTGTACGAGCGGCTGTGCTTTCTCTGTTTCTATTTGTTTTATTAAATGTCTCATGGGCGCTTGCGATAGCTACACAGGAAGAAAAGTTGGCACTAGGCTTTTGCACCAATGAAAAGCATTATAAAATGTTTTTGCGTGGGCATGTATATTTGATGCGTTTAACGCCTTACAAGTTTCACTGAATTAGAGGAAGTAAATTTATGCAACGTTCCAAGAATGTTACGTGTTCGTTTACGTTTTTGTACAGCTCTGTCTACCGCATGTAGCGTGCTTTGTTCATCCCTTGTTTTACCCAAGTTAACTTAGATTTGGCCGTTAGCAGTTTGTCGCCAGCATTTGGTTTTGTTCAACTGGAGCTTTGTTGATTACTGTGTCGTGTTGTCACTGTTGGGCGAGTGGCCCGTGCCATATCAGCGAGACGTCAGCATAACTGTCAGCAGGTCTGCGCGCTGTGTGTTGTTTTGTACTTGTCTTGTGTTGCTGTTCCTGGTTGGCTGGTGACATCTCCCATGTGCTAGAGTGTAATTCTTCCTTCCTTAATTTGCCCCCTATTTCTGATTGTTATTGGCGCCCTTGCAATACCCTCTCGCTGTTATCAACTTGTTTTCGTTAGATCGTGTAGTTTTCGTTCTGACTGTCATAAGAATTTCCCATCTTTAATACTCTTCTTCTGGCCATCCGTCGCAGTTGCTCTTAAGAAATTTGTTTGCCAAAACGATACGTGGTGAGACTGCGTTTTTAGAGAGAATATGTTTTGAGACCGCTCCCTTGGAGGGAATTTCTTCTTTGAGACCGCGCCCTTGGAGGGAATTTTGTTCTTTGAGACCGCTCCCTTGGAGGGAATTTCTTCTTCGAGACCGCGCCCTTGGAGCGAATTTCTTTTTTGAGACCGCGCCCTTGGAGCGAATTTCTTCTTTGAGACCGCGCCCTTGGACGAAATGATGTGTTATGAGTCCGCGCCCACGGGTTCTTTGTTACTCCCAGCGCGTCTCACGCAGTGAGTGTGGCCTGGTACGTTGACCTCATGTCATCTTGCCAGGCCTGGTACGTAAACTCGTATCACACGGCCGCAGGTCTTGACCTCGTGTTCAGTTAACCTCGTGTCTGTGGGAACCACGCTTTGTGGATCGCAATTAACATTTTGCGTGCAACTATTACTCCGTGTCTTACTTTTTGGTAGTAGGCGCCGGTCGTCGGTGCAAGATGATCGTTTGATCTAGTAGAGGGATATCATGCTTATCGTAAAAAATTATTTATTTTATTTTATCGTTTATTTCTTTTATATCATTTATATCATTCATTTCCTTTATTTAATTTTTATCATTTATTGCATTTCTTATTAGGTGGTTTGCTTCACTGCTCCTCGAATGAAGCACGAGTAGCATGTGTGAGGCGAGGAAACGTCTGTCAACGGAGCATTCGTGCGTGCCAAGCTATCCTGGCAATGTACCACGCTGTATTTATGCTGATATATACGACCATCGGAGCGAACCTCATTGATTCATCTCAAACTTCGTTGTTTTTGATGTGTGTGCAAGTACGTGGTTAGTTCGAAGGCTATTTTGTTCTCGGACTCCATTGCATCGCGACGATGGTGTCGCTAGCGTAGCCTATATTGGCTTGAAGGAAGCTTGTATTTACATCCTGACTTGTGCCGTCAAATTTCCACTGTCCTTGTGTTGTTAACTTTCAAGCGAATGTGAGTTGCAGTCTAAAGGCTGTCGCAGCGAGGATCTTGACCTCTGTGCTTGATAGTCTTCTTTGTTGCGGGCGTTTGTTTAATCCTGTTATATCCTGTTTATTTGTTATGTTCTTCAGAGGAATGATTTGAGTGAGCTGATCCAACTATATTGTTATCTTTGAACTCTACTCTTTGAAGCTAATGTTTTCATGCTCTTGTTATTATTAAAACTGTATAGTAATGCATGAGGTTTCATTTGACCCGTTATTTTTGTCGCACAGTAAGGCTAAGTGCCAAAATTAGACCGGACATTAGCTGTGATTCAAATCCTCTAGCGCTTTACGCCCTATTGCTAGCTAATACAGATTAAATATTAATTTCATCCATTTTATCTTGTCTATTCTAGCATTTTTTTACGTTTAGAAGTTGAGTTTTTTTTACGCTCGTATAATTTGACAATCTTGAATAGACGAACACCAGACGCTAGATCTGTGGTTTCCAAACTTTTTCAGGCTGGCGCCTCCTTCGACTCCCAAGTGAATTTCTAGCGCCCCCTCCCCCACAGACATATGAACGTACGCCTCTTTCTTGATATTTAGTACGCTACAATTTTTTAATTTCGCCTTCATCCGTAAACTCTGGCGATACTGCCGAAATTCGCAGTGATCAAAGAATTTCTTCCAAACTACTGAACAGATTCTAACGTAATTTTGAATATACATATACGATGGTGTTTAGCTAGTGAAAATTTTGTCGATTTTGCCATTGAATTTTTTAAATTGGCCGCGAGTCTGGCCGTAAATTTGTCCGAGACGTAAACCCAGGGGAGGATCAAAACCCAGCTGATCTGGGTGGAAAAACCCATCGCTGGGCGTCGTGTGCTGCACGTGTTGTGTACAAATCGTCAAACATACGTTGGAACTTCTGACCTCGACTTCGCAGAGTGCCGCTCCCCTACCGCCCATTTCTTCCTGATCGCCCCTCGCTTCGGTATCGCCCACTTTGAAAACCACTGCGCTAGATGTAGATGCGTGCACTGGGAATAGTTCTTGAAGAGTCCGGAGGTGCATCATGGCCAGGAGGCAAAATGGTTGTTGCGGACTATTTAGTGCTTTTCAGCGCAACTTTTATCTGAGGCAGGATTAATTGAATACGCGTGCATCATGTTTCTTCCTCTTTCTTCATAATCCCAGATGACACGGTTTCTGCAAAGAAACCGGTACAAATACAAAATTCATTAAAAAAAATATATTACTGAATTTATAAACAATATTCAAAAATATTAAACATTATAGTAAATTACCAAAGCTTTCTAAACGGCAAAGAAATATTCAAACAAGAGAACTAAGCTCACCAAAATTCGTTCCTAATAAAGTTTGGTCTGTACTGCGCAGCCGACAGATGACTAATGAGCGAAAATGTTTCGCAAGACCACGGAATTAAACTACTATTCTAAAGCAAATGTTGCGTTCACAACAATGGTCATGGAATTATATAAACTCGCCGCCGCAAGGCTCATTACATAAATATTTCCTATCTAAGATTATTAAATTCTAAAGTTTTACGTAGAAATAATGATCATGGTTTGGTTGGCGCGGTGAATGTTGTCGTGACAAATAATAGAACCGGCTTAGAAGCCAAGAATTATGCTAGTGAGAATGGTATATTGCAGAGAATAAGAATGAACAAAACGCTGATTGATAACTTAATATTACCATATAACCGGTGCCAACAATGCCTCTCTAATAGCAAAGCCATGCGTATGAATACAAGCAGCTCCTACTGACAAAACAAAACTAACCATAGAAAATGCACGAACGACATCCGCGCCCATACACAAAACCCAAATTTTCGCTCAACCAAACTCATAAGACCTTCGATACTGAACAGATCTGCTTGAAGTTTTTAATGCAGGCACCTAAAAAATTACAGCTAATATAAATGCGCTGTGCCTGAAACAATTACAGATTTTTGTCACTTCGTTTTAAATTAAAACAAAAGAAAATGCCGTTTGTAGGCAGCCGAACCACTCATAACTCCTTTTATACCGACGGATGAGCTTGAAATTTGAAATATAAGTAGTTATAAGTAATGCACTCGTTCATAAATTATGAAAATTTTATAATATTTTGATATTTTCAAATAATTTAAGAAAACTTGCACAAAGAGTCAAAAATTTCAAAGAAACGTATGAGGTTCGCACATTGGGTACCTTAAAAATTGTCTGTGATGTGATTCTGCCTAGTCCCGAATTTTCATAGATTCTCGGAGTCCGGAGAGAGTCAGCTGCGTTCATAGTTCAACTTCATACGGTACAGTAACGGTAAACATCTTACAATTTGTGCTCTTTACCCATGGCCATGACCATGAGAGTGGCGTTCATGCAGTAAACATCAATTGATTTTGCTCTGAAATTAACGTAACAAAGTTTATTTGTGACTAATGTGATTATCGTGAATACTCATATTTCCATAAATCTTTTTTTTTCATTCTTAATCACACTTCTCTCAAGTTCTCTGTATAGGCCATAGATTGATGTTATCATTTTTTGTGCGTTGTCATAATTTTTTCATCGTTTGATTTCATTTAGCTCGTTGAAAGTTAATTTTCAGCTCCTTTACAGATTAGAAGCCAATTAAAACAAAGCTATTTATTGACATCTAAAAAAGTATTGGGAAGTAGTCATTAATTAATTACTATCATCAAATAAAAAATCTAAGGAGATTATTTAAAAATGTAATGGAACAATGTAATTCTCACATGAAAAATCGTTTCCAATTTTTTTTTAAGAGAACTCGATCGTCGAGTTGCATCCTGATCCTTTTATTTACTTTAAGTGGTGTCCTATACTACAATTCAATGCTACCACCATAGGGGAGAATTATCCCGATTTTAATACTATTTACTGCGATGGCTCCCGCTTGCCAGACCTGGAATCCAGCGCTTGCGGTATTTATATCCCATCACAAAATAAAGCAGTCACTTGGCGTCTCCACCCGGCAAGCAGCACCCTGACTACTAGTCTGGAAAAGTCCTATTTTTGTCTGAAATATCGCGGCTCTAATATCATATAATTTTAGTAGGTATGAAATCTTGCGGCTCGAATGTCATAAATTTTTGTTTGATTAAAAAATTGCGGTTTGCACTTCGCAAACATGTCATTTCATAAAATTTTCATCCTGGAGTGGGGCTATCTGCCCTGGAGTGGGGCTGTCTGCCTTGGTGTGGTCTCCACTTTGGTGGCCCCGTTCTGCAACCCTTCAGCCATTGAGAAATCTTGAGTTTTTTTTTTCAAGACCCCCAATTTTGTACCTGAAAAGAAAATTCAGTCAAATTCCTTGAACTGTTCTGACATGGGCACGCATTGAACCAGTCTTCAGAGGCTCCCATAAATTCCAATTAAAGAAAGAATAACTAATAGGTAGGAGAAGCCTATAAGGCCTGCGAGCCAGCTTAAATTTTCATATTCTAGTAGGCAAAACTAAAATTTTGGTTAGCTATTATTGTCTCTGATTCCTGTTGTATTGTATTCTGCATTAACTGTGTCCCTTTTTGTTGCAAAGTCATTGTGTGTTTGTGATTATTATCTTTGTCAATAAATTGTCATCATATTATTATTTGTATGTTCAAAATTTTTCTAATATAATTTAATAACTGTGTGTGTCCAAGAAGACCAAGACCATGTCAGAAACTGACTCTGACATGCCCAAGGATGACGAAGACATAATCCCAGAAATGCCATCACAAAACAGTGACGTCAATGTTCTCCTTCAGCCTAGCCTTACACTCGGACTGCAATTCTAAAATTCGTGGTTCACTTAAAAAATGCATTCCGCTTTGAAAAAAAAATGTTCCAGGCAACTAGAAACAGGTTTGCAGGCCGTCAGAAATCGGCTTCGGTTATGGTAGCTATGATCGTATGAAAGTCAAGTCAGGCAACACAGAGAATGTCCCATGCAAGATTGTTAATTGCGCGTGTCACTCACAGATGAGCAAGAGGGATGGATCTACAGAAGGAAATACTATTTACTCCCAATTCCAAATGGTTTCCAAAATGGTATATGGTTTACTCCAAATGGTTTCAAATTAAATATAAAAAACATTTATGGCACCTATTTGTTACCTCAGCTTTCAAATTGAGGAGAAACTCATTGGCAGTTGGAGAAACTTCTCGAAGAAAAGGCAATGCACAACAAACAACATGACACTTCACAGTTGACTGACTAGAATAGACTCGATAGTCAATAGAGTACTTGAAAGTAAAAAATTAAGCATTCAAACCTTTTGATTCTGTGAACCTTGTGATTTCTTCATTATTAAAACTTTTGAAGGCTCACAATATATCACGTAAAGTTTTCACTCAATCATCGTCTCCAAGTTTGGGAACTTTATCTGCAGTTAATTCAGTTACCTCACACACCAATTCGACTGCTTAAGAAGAACTAACAAGTAAACAGTAAACACTAACCATCGTTCCCGCCACTTTGNGAGACTACCTCTACATCATCTACAATGAAAGAGGAGGACTTCAGAGTACTGTTAGTAATGGATGAGTACGCGCTGCATGCTTCAAATGTTTTGAATTGAAGTTTTATTCCCATTGTCCCGAGTAGCCCCGACCAACGGGGCTACTCAGGACAATCTTTATTTTGCGTCTGGCACCTTACGAATAGCATATGGAATTTTTTTGACAATGCCATTCAATAGCCCTCGCAAAGAGCTATAAAATGAGCCTAAATTTGTATATGAAATGTTTCATCATAAGAAGTTATTAACAGTTATTAACAAAAAAATGATCAAATCTGTCCCGAGTAGCCCCGGTTGATAGTATCTATTATGTATGAAGCTAGTCAAGAAAGCAAACATTTACTATCTCTAAAAAATCGCTGAAAAATAGTGTGAAAAGTGCAATTTTGGAAAAGTACCTCTGCTAAGGTCTGGAGCAAAAAAATATTGACGGAATTTGCCTATCTCATTCCGGGAAAAAAATGGCAGCCATTTCCGCACGGCAGGGCTACTTGGGACATCCCCACGGGGTAATTAGGGACACCCTTAAAAATACATTTAAAGTAGAACCTCAGCAAAGGTTCCAGTTAACAAAAAAATTGATGAACAACAAAGAATTTTGATTACATTTACCTCGCTCAGTGAAAAAAAAAATTCACTTATCGAAAAATTAGTGCAGCATCGGTTGTCACAAAATTCAGTTGTTGCATCATAGAATGAAAAGTAATTGACCTAAACACTGATTTATTTCTCCAAAACATATGACGGTTGTCACTAAAACATTATTTTCTGTTTCAGGTATGTTTTTCACGATCTTTTTTGTTATAGTGAAATCACTTGACTCAATTAAAATTGTGCAAAATTACAAACCATCATGTAAGCTTACAGATACAGAAGAAATGCAACATAGCTGCTGATATGAAGCTTGCAGTGGACAAGGTCATTGTCAATGCTCAATGGCATGTCCATTGATACAGTAAGATCACATTAATAATATGGTAATTAATGAATATAGTAATATAATATCAATAAAGGAAAAACAAGTAAAAATCACAGAAAATGCCATTTATTTTACATCTACATCATCTACAATGGAAAAGGAGGACTTCAAAGTACTGTTAGTAATGAATGAGTACACTCTGCATGCTTAAAACGTTTTAAAATTAGGTTTTATTTCAAGTTTCCCAAATTACCCTGCTCCCAGGGGTGATTTGGGACACTTTTATTTTGCACCTAGCACCTTACGAATAGCACATGAAAGATACATAGCCCTTGCTAAGATGCTATTTGATAGCCCTTGCTAAGTGCCTTAAAATGAGCCCAAACTTATTCATGAAATGTTTCATGTAAGAAGTTTTGAACAAAAAACTCTCAAAACCATCCCTTATTATCCTTTTTGATGGTAAATAGTAAAAATTAGGAATTTTTTGCCACTTTTTTTGAAATATTTTGATAAGCTTAGCTGATAGGTACTACGTTTCAACCAAATGTCAGAGAAGTAGAGAACTGTCCCAATTTTACCCCACCTGTCCCTTATTACCCAATTGACATTAGTACTCATGAGAGGGTTGGTACAAATTTCAAAGTGCTAAATGCAGTTCTTCAAAAGGTCTGGGGGTGACATTAAAAATGTTTTTTTTTCAGTATCTGAGACTATTGTATACATATACTACTGTCAAAATTGACTTGCTCCTCTCCAGAGTCAGTCTTCAATTAAATTAACAAACCATGTTGAAAAACTTTTTATTGTCGCAGCAAATTTCATCCATAGGATCAAGGTGAGTTTGATGTTTAGAGATGACTTGTCCTTTCTGCCTAAGTGCTTTGCATGGTATTACGCATGTAGATATACGGAACTACAAATTTTTGTTTTGATAATATAGAACATTTTAATGTTCCTGAAATTACTTAATGCTCATAATTATACAGTTTGAGGAGTTTTCAGTAATAATAAAATTTTTTTCTGTGATTTTAGTGATGTAGTGATATAGGTAGAGTCAAGATGAGCTGAATTCTAGAAGTGAGATTCATGTATGAGATATAATTATGAGCTAGTGATGCTTGCTGAAGCCCAAATTGGTTGTGGGGTGGCAGCCTGGTAATCCTTCACTTGGAACTGATTTAATCACTTACAGGTGCTATTTAATTGGTCTTCATGATAATTGAATTTTTAACATTTCTTGTAATTGACATGATGTAAAATAGTTGGGAATGATCTTAAATGTGGTGCATGTATCCTACATTTCTGCTATATTAAATGCTTAGAGAATATCCTCACGTATTGATATTATAAATATACTTCAGCCAATTATATATTCAATTTATATATTCAATTGAAAGAATTAAAAAAGGGAGATGTTAATGTTATGCCTGGAATGCTACCATTAATTCAGTCACTTCACAAATGCTGATGATCCAAAGTCTTAAGAATGTGTATCTTACAGCATTTCATACTCTCTCTCCAAATTTACTGGCATCCACAATGGGACATTGGTCAGAATTGGATCCTAAATGACTATACTAGTTGACTGAAGTGTGGTTTGTAAATCATCATCAAACTGCTCAAAAGGTAATTAGGGCCTTTTATCACTGCTGCACAATTTCCTTTCACTAGCAGCATTTAGTAGTTTCCTAAGCAGCATCCTTAGCAGGTGTTCTAGTTTGTTAGAACAACTGGATTCAAGTTTATGGTTGATAGAAGTTCCTTCTCATTCAATGTAACCTCAAGGTTTTTGGCAGCTAATAATTTTAGTGGACTTAACCAGTTATAACTATTTTGAGCTTTCATACACTGCTAACATTAATGAGATAGAATACTGTAGGCATCAGAGAATGAAGGAACTAAGTTGAGAACATCTGAATAGAAATGTGTGCTAAAAGCCACAATAATAACTAGTATGAATGTTAAATTGATAAATGCTAGCCCAGCTTACCAGAGTAAGAGCTTGCTAAAGATGAATGTTTAAGCTTCAGACTTCAAAATACTAATAAATTTTATGTGAGCTGAGATGATTAACATAGTGAAATGTGTAAAAAGAGCTCAATTAAATATCAAGTAAAATTAATATCATGATAATATCAAAGTAAAGACTTCAAGCTACATAACAACCTAACCCAACCATTGTTAAAAAGGCATTTCCTCCTTGAGATTTATCTAAACAGTATGCCCAGTATAATGGCAAATACATTATTTAAAATACCCTAGCAAGTTTGCTCTGTACAACTCGGAATAGATTATACCTGCAACTTGAAAATTGTATGAGTACAGCTACCGTCATCTGAAATCCAGTTGATGATGTTGATACTATATATATACCTAATCTAAGTACTGTAAGTTAAGAAAGTACTGTAGGTAATTAAAGAAAGTGTTGTAATCAAAGAAAGTGCTACTGTCACTGAAGAAAAATGGTTTCAAATCCACATTCTGGAAAAAAATTAAATTCAAGCCTCATTTGCAAATTTTACTAAAATGTTATCTATTTTTAAAATAAACTTCTCATTTACTAAATTGAAAAAGCATCTTTCTATTTTTTGAGCTAATCTTAATTCTTCAGTGTTTTATGATATTGTCACTAAAAATATCATTTTGATTTCATCAGTTCTTACAGTTGTTATTGTAGACTCTGTTGTTCCAACAGTTGATTTGCCAACTCACCTACTAAGACCATTAATAATTTGAAGTTAATGGTTGATTTCTCACAGGTTTCCAGCAGCACCTGCACAGTTTGCAGTACGAAGTTATGCCATTTATTCCCCTGACAAATATTTGGAGCCAATATATGAAAAAGAGCAGCTGGAAGAAATTTTTCAAAACAAAGAAATAAAAGAGAGGCTTCAGTTCAGCCAAATCAAGCCAGCTGAACAAAGCAGATCTTGGAGCTTCTTTGACCATCCAAGAGTGAAGTAAGTTTTCATCTTAACCTCACCACCCATAATTTAAATGGCTTCTGAATGTTACTTTGATATAAATAATTTGCTGGACACTTATGAATTAATTTAAATTATATTTCATGTAAAAATAGAAAGATTTCATTCCTTTTGTTGTCATTTCCAGTATACCAACATTTTGTCATTTCCAGTCCAGATAGCATAGGGTCAGAATTGTAGGTCATTTTTATCTGGAGACAACAGGAGGGCTATTAGTTGATTTGTGATCACTAGAGCATTCAGGTGCAATGGTCAAGCCAGTTACGGAATGTACGTCAAGGTCTTCAAAACAAATTTTCATTTTATATGAGACTGAATCAATAAATCAATTATTATTGAAGCTTAAATAAATGAGCACAGTTGTCGAAATTGTTTTATATATTGGCAGGACGTAGCGCTGCAAGTGTTTGCTCCTGACAGTAGGGAATTATATGCCCGAATAACGTTCAGTTAACTTGTTAGTAGCAGCTCTGACTGGTGACATCAATGCAAAACAGAGGCAAATTTATTTAAATATCCCATTAATAGTGAGACTGCTGATATGCTCATGTATCTGGGCTTGGAATTTTATTTTTTCTTGTGAGATGGGGCCATTTGCTCGTGAATGGCTTTACACTTTTTCCTGAAGTTAGTATCTATATGCTTCTAAATGTTGAATTCTTTTACAGCCGACTCTGCAATTATGTCATGAAAGAAGGAAATAAAGTTTTGGCCCGGAACCTCGTTGAAGAAGTGAGTAGTGTATTGAAAAGCAGTGCCCAGCCACCAGTCAGGCAACTGCTTCTATAGTAGTTCTTATGGTCTCTTGTTCACAAATAGGTGAACATTCTTTTGTTTCATTAAATATAATTCTGCTATTCTAATGACGATCCAAATTTTGCTAGACCTACTACTCTGAGAAGCACCCATCCCTCAATAGAGGTTTTATTTATTTATGTTTTTATGTTTCCTCAATCAAGGTTTCATCACCCATCCCTCAATCCAAAGCTCCATTGTATCTCCCAAATGTTGCAGACGTTCACGCGCATCAAAAGGAAGCAGCTGCGTGCCTACCACACGGCGGAGACGGACGAGGAGCGTCGTAACATCGTCTGTGATCCTCTCACCATTTACCTCGGCGCCGTCGAGAACTGCAGGCCCTTCCTCGACCTGCTGCCTATCAAGAGAGGCGGCATCACCTACCAGGCATGTCGCGGGCTTCGTGAATTATTAGCTCAATGTCGTTTATTTTGTGCAGAATAAATATTGCAATGAATATCTATAAAATTTTCTTCTCTCGACGTATAATACCCAATATAATCATTTCTCTTTAGTAGCTATTCGCATGATTTGTAAAAAATCATAGAAAAAACTACATTCTATTTTGTTTCCGTTTTTTGTTTTGTGAAAGCAATCTCAACTTTAGCTATCTTTGCACTAGTAGGTCATCGTAGCTTGTATTATAAAGGCGTATTGCCCCAAGAGCCGCTGCTGCTCACATGTCCTGAGTGCGGTGTCGTGGGCAGGTGCCGGTACCCATGTCGGAGAAGCACAGCTACTTCATCGCGACGCGGTGGCTCGTGCACGCAGGGCGCGACCGGCCTACACGACGCGTGCACTTCCCTGAGAACTTGGCCAATGAGCTCATCGATGCTTTCTATGGCAGGGTGAGAGACGCAGTAAAATATGGCAGGGTGAGCTGTATGCTCAGAATTTATATGGCTTCAATAATTTGCTTTAAATCTTGAAGCCCAATATCGGTTTTGTACGTGTCCATATTTTTCAAATTTAGGCTGTTTCTGGCAGGATTGTTCTCAGCGCCTCGAATTGTTAACGTATATTTTCCTTCGATTGGCATATTTTAATATTGAACTTATTGTTTTACACGCAGGGTCGAGTTGTTCAACAGAAGAATGACCTTCACAAGCAGTGCGAGGCCAACAGAGCGTATGCTCACTACAGATAATTGCTTCACGCCGTGTCCATATTGTGCTATGAATTTATAGAACAGTTTTTCAAATGTACCTCAATTAGAGTTGATCAGTTTACGCTTGAAAATGTTATAAGTTTGAAGTAAGATGTTTTGAGTAAACTTGGCTCACATGTTACGCTTTATTGATCGTACCCTGCAGTGTCTTTACGGAGTCTTCAATTCCTACTTGATGATTCTTCCAAAACGTTGATTATAGCTGCTTAACTTGTTGTTGCTAGAGACGTATTATTCGTAAGGGGCCGTAAAACATCCGCTCCAATGCTTATGTCTATAGAATAAAGAAAAAAATATAACTCAGTACTCACTGCAGTGAGTGACAGAGAGCGCATTTTCTCGTCGACGAAAACTTAAGGTCACGGACGGACGGACAGACAGACAGACGGACATGGTGAGCACAATAGTGCATTTTTCCCTAAATGCGCTAAAAAGAAGCAGTTTGGACGGTTAAACCGATGTTGTTGTGAGCTTTTTGAGAGCGCAGCAATCATCGTATAACCATGAACTTGGTGAAATATAAATAAATTAGCAGGTTAACCCAGCAGGACTCGGGATAGATAATCTCTTCAATTTGAAAATTCTGTAATCATATATGCAGTCTTCATGAATTCTTTTATACGTAATACCATCGTACTGAATTTCTCCTATCAATTTTTGAACTACCGGAAGTTACTGAACAAATGCCCCGTTCCAACCAAAAATTTTTAATGGTTGAATAATAATTCGTTTCAAATTTAAAGGCGCATTTCAATCTCATAGTTCACCCTTGCCTCTTCCTGCCTTGCTGAGTCATACGATTTGATCAAAAATAAATGTTCTGTTCAGGAAATATCCCGACACATGAAGCATCGTAGATACGCGACTCATCATCCGCTACAAATTTCCCTCGCCAGGCTTCAAGCCCACTAACTCGCACCAACTTTTTTCATATATATGAGATTGTATACTTGTTTAAGTGCCAGAAAGCACTCGGCTGATGGAGAGTGAAGACTAACAGAAGGGTAGTCTCTTTTTATTAAAGCTCTCCATTCTCCTATCATCGATTTAGATACAGGGAATAAGTAAATAATTATCAATGAATAATGTTACAACAATGGCGCTCGGCACCAACAGCAGAATGACGCCTCAAAGTATATTTTTAATTTGAGAAAATACAAGGAGAGGTGACTACTCAATCTGAAAATTCAGTGTGCTTAGCGTGGATTGTAAAGCAGATTTGGCTATCGCGATGTATCGATGTTTTGAATCCCTTTGTTAGACTGTTAGGTATCAATTAAACCCAGTTTAGGCAAGGGGCTATATGGACTAGTCTCCAGTGCTCCTATAAGAATAACTAAAAAAAAAAAAAAAATGTCAGTGTCAGATACTGGTGTGATTGCGCACAACCGAATGAGGAGGGCGCGATATAGTACCCTAATAGTTGCAAAGGTGCAATTATTGAAGCTTTCAACTTGCAGAGACAGAAGGCTATAGCTGTAGAACAGCAAGCTCTCAGGATGTAATCGGAGGCCAGAGTTTTGAACAGTTTCAAGTTGTTTCAACAATGACTTAGAAATGTCCCATAAATTTTTTGAGCCATACTCTATCTTGCTTCTCATGAAGGCCACGTACATTCTGCTCAACAATCGTCGAGAGGCTCCTCACTTCACCGAGGCAAGTGCACGAACACCTGCAGTAGCTTCAGACAAACATTACGCGTTATTCTGCCGTGTTTCCGAAATGTAAGGCGTGAAGAGTCAATGAAATCCAGCACATTTTGGCAGGCCACATGCTGAATGTTCCTGTTGCAGACTGCATGTGTGGTAGCAGGTGCTGTCCATGGTTGAAGTAATATTAATGCTGTATAAATTCAACCATGGGTGCTGTCCGATGAGGCGTGTAAATCTGAAACGAGCACCTTGTTGGGTTCAGACGAAACTGCAAGCAAGTAAACCAATAACTTGTCTCATCCAGACACCGCTGCATATGATGCCTAGCCTCGGCCTAGGAATGACCATTAGCAAAAAGTGTTGTCATCTGCACACCCAACAAGTATCACTTAAGGTACTTGTACACGGGGACAGTACTGGCGGCAAGTAAATCAGAAATGTGCCAAATGTATGTCGCTTAGTGTCTATCCGGCAAGTAAGCTTAGACACGAAGCAAGTTTAAGGTGCCGCCGTGACGGTATCTAGTCGTTACCGGCACGGCGGCACCTTAAACTTGCCTCGTGTCTAAGCTTACTTGCCGGATAGACACTAAGCGACATACATTTGGCACTTTTCTGATCTACTTTCCGCCAGTACTGTCCCGTCTTCTTCTTCTTTTCCGGGCGTCCACGCTGGGTGGACTTAAAGCCACAGGACAACCGCAAGGATGACCGTTGGGCCTGAGAGCTTCTGCAGGTAGTACTGTCCCGTGTACAAGCACCTTTATATAGAGCGTTGTAGGTCATACAGTCGGTTGGGGAGAGTGGATTGGAAAGATGTACACAAATGTTGATTTGGTATAGTTTAAAGAAGGTCACTTATCCATGTTATTTTTTAAAGTGATGATAGATGAATGAATTATTATTTTACTATTGGGTTTAATAAATGAAAAAATTAAAACCGAAAAAGCACCAAAAGAAGCATTGAAAAAAGAAAATCAGATTTGGCTATCGCGATGTATCGATGTTTTGAATCCCTTTATGTTAGAAACGAAAAGGATTAAAGCCAAAGATGGGGATGGAAATTGATGCTCAAACCAGGTTATAATTGTTATTATTTGCAAACGTTCGAAGTTCGTAACTGCTTGTTAGCATTAACTACATTGCAAGCATAACTCTACACAATAGCTGAAGTATTAATGTCACTAGATTGCTCAAATCGCAAATTCACCAAGAAATTAAAAGCGAAGAAACTCCACAAAAATTCTCCATATCTCCATTGAAAACGTTTCGGAGCCCAACTCCATCGTCAGTTCGAAAAATTAAGAACACAAATACAATCTGAATTTAATACAGTCGATATTCAAAGGAAAAAAGCGAAGGTACAACCTAAATTTACGAATAAAAGACGGAGTAATAAAGTGAAAACCTATCTATTTACAATTTCTGATGGATAAAAGCTGCATTTGAACTGGGCCCAGGTCACTTACCCATGTTATTTTTTATATTGATGATTGATGAATGAATAATTATTTTACTATTGGGTTTAATAAATGAAAAAATTAAAACCGAAAAAAGCACCAAAAGAAGCATTGAAAAAAGAAAACATTAACAAATCCTTGTAATAACTTTGCAACACACACATATCACTACGGTACTGCCCTTATTTGAGTTACATATTGTTGTGTTTTGCCTTTAATTAAAGTTAAAATAATAAGAAATAATCTAAAACTATACGTTTTTCGTGATTTTTCGTACTTATTTTGTTGACAAATCTTACGAGATTGAAAAAAAAAACTTAATATCATTTTTGAAAGCAGCGCAAAGACTGGCATAAATATCACTTAACAAAATCAAAGCAATTTTTACGAAGTTTATTCTCGCAGACCTGTGTAATTGATATTGCCTATTTGCCCACCACGTCAACTGGCGCCGTCCTAACGAACATAGTTTCGAGTTTGTCATTAGGTTAGCCAATCACTGGTAGCTCTTCAAGCTAAACCCGCCTTTCACAGACAATAAATTGAAGGCTAAGTGCACATGAGCGAATTTGACGGTACGGCCCCTGTCATAAGGTCGTCTGCAGCCGGTCATAGAGTAGAGAATCAGTGTGTGTGTGCTTTGTTGAAGGTGAAGAGATGACCTCACTCAGGCCGACTGTCACACCTGGGACATGGCATTAATTGCTGGCTTTCAAAAATTTTCACTTGCAGTCACAGACGAATTTTACTTGCTTGTAGGAGGCGGCTGTTATTTCAGGATTTCCTTGGTATTATTTTCAAATAAATGGCAATTGCTTGGGTTGCTGCTATAATTTTCATGGTTTTCAGCGATCTTTCAACTGTCTTGATTCAAAACTGTAGAGAATCAGTCTAGTCTGCATACTGGACAACGATGACGAAATGCCGTTGTGAACAAATTTATGCAACGTTTTTCCAACCAAAAGAACTTGAGTGTATGACGAGGTTAAATCTTTTTAAAGCAATCCTGTCAACCAGAATAGTATCTTGACCGGAAGTCTTCAATTAAGTAGTCGAAGGCTGCAATTGCACCCGGCTGGGCTCCAACTGCGCTAGCGCCGGATTTTAACCGAGAAGTCGAACCAACAAATCAAGTTAGTTTAGTGGCCAAATGTTTACAAGCGCTTCAGCTATTTAGCTATCTCGCACCGAAAGTCACGATGAACATAACATAACATAGTGATGTCGGCGCTAAAGAGTAGGCCTGATGTGGCCTGTCGCCGAATCTTGAACTTTTCGTGACTTGTTCATAGAAGATCTAAAATCTTGTCATTTGACCGGATATTTTCAAGACTGACGATAGTTTGAAATAGCCACTAGACTTCCACCGGGTTTGATAAGGAGCTAGGCATTTCAAATCTGAAGATATATTTTTCCATAACTTTATCTAGTCTGTTCTTGAACGCGTTCATACTTTCATTTGACCGGATATTTTCAAGACTGACGATAGTTTGAAATAGCCACTAGACTTCCACCGGGTTCGATATGGTGTTAGGCATTTCAAATCTGAACAGATATTTTTCCATAACTTTATCTAGTCTGTTCTTGAACGCGTTCATACTTTGAGCGCCAACGATGTAATCGGGGGGGCTGTTCCACATGTCGGTGATTAGAAGCGAGTAGAAATGTCGCGTGGACAAGTTGCAGCGCAGTTTTTCACCAAAGAGGTGGAAGGTCGCAGTTATCGAAAGTTTCGAAATAAAAAAAATCATTCATCACCCACAAGGGGCGGAAGGTCTCAATTGTCCAGCCCGCTGAAGCTGGCTCGAAGGAAGCAGCGTTAGCATCTCAAAGAGACGAAGTGACAAGGTGGGACAGGTGAAAAGCAACAGAAACGAGAAGACACTCGAACAAGAGGTCGCTTACACGGGACGTCGGCCGCCCGCACGAGAGAGACAGAGAAGGAAATGTAAGGAGTTCTACATACATAATAACTTAGCCCCACAAGTGAGACCTGCTGTCAGTCACAGCGAGCTCAGCGGTGGGGCGCTCAGGAACAATCTCGCTAGGAGCGCGAAATCCCATAGAACTTCTGACGACTAACAAATCAAATATCAACATGAAAGTTTCATTGGCATTTTCTTGAAAGTTCATATAAGATACGAATGAATAATCAGAACCTGAAGAATGGGAATATTATTCTAATATTGAAGCATGTTCTAAATCTTGTGACACAGCTTGCGTCGTAACGATATGCTACCAAACCCTGACCGTATGATAATTTTCAGTGTAGAAAGGATGGCAGAATTGTTGAAAGACGTCCACAAAATAGAACACAGCTACGGCGTAAATCCTATTTAATGTCCTTTGATATCGTCTTTTTATCGAGCGGGATTGATGGCATAATCGAAATAAAATAAGAGATATTCAATTTCATTATTTATTAGCTGAGAAGTACCTACTATAGTGAAACGGTGGTTCTTACAAAGAAAATTATTTCTTACTTACAATTATATACATTAAACACATCAAGGTATTTGTTCATGGCGGTAAACAAGAGCCAAGCATATTCAGCAAGCTGCTCTTATTGTCAGCGGCCATGACAACACATCTGGCAAACACATCAGAAACAAGGGAAAGTCGCGTACAAGTGGGTCAGCAGCCAAAACTTAGCAGGTACAGAAGTGGGTCAGAAAACCTACATCAGGTCCTCCATCTCACGCATGAATTGCGAGTATGCGTCGTCTTTGGTTGGCTTCCTTTCCATTTCTTCTGCGCGGCCCCGAACTTCCTTGGTGTCTGTGGGGAGTCACGTTAAAATTGGTAATCGATCAAAATCTTTATAAAACATGTATACCAACAAATTGCATAATATTTCAATAAACAATATAAATAAGAAGCCAAGAGCTCAAGAAGGGACGACTTTCTTATAATTTCGTCTATAGTATCACAAGACTATTCGGGCAGCTGTAAATATTCACAGAGAAGAGTTGCCAGTTAATAGTCTATGTCGCTCACCTGGTGCTGATTTAGTGGACTTCTTCTTATCCTCTCTCTTAACTCGCAGCACGGTGGGTTGGAAGCGCGTCACGTCAGCACTCAGGCTCCTGATCTGCGGTCGTGCCTGGATGGTCGCGGTGGCGGTGGCGGCCGTGCGGTTGGAGCGCGGCAGCAGCTGGGGCGCGGCGGTGAGCACATTGGGCGCCGCCCCCGGACCTATGGGCGGCGGCAAGCGAGGCAGGAGGCCAGGCAGTCGAACAGGGGGAGGCAGACGCACGTTAGGCAGGCGCGCGATACCTTGAGGCATGAAGGATGGCAGGTTCTGGGGTGGTGGACCCGGAGGAAGACGAACCCGCATTGGCGGGGGTGGCAGCATCGTGGGTCTGGGGACAGGAGGCCTGAACGGTAACAGTGATGGTGGGGGAGCGGTAGGGATGCCTGCGACCGGGGGAGCAACATTGAATGGAGCGGGTACCATAGTGGGAGGTCGCACTGAGGCATCCAGCATCCCCATTGCCACTGGTTCAGCTGGCGGAAGAGCGACTGTCACTGCCTCATTTGTTGGCGGCTCAGATTGAGAGGCAGGCTCCTTCAGGAACGGCTTATCTTCATCCCTGAGTTTACTAAGACGTTCCCGAAGGCCTGCTTCTTTGTCCGCCTCTCTTTCCTGCATAAGAACTTCAGTTTCCCTAACAAATTGATCAACATCTTGACCAGACAACTTGAGCAGCTTGGCTTGCAAACTGGTGAGCCCTTGACGCCCGGAATCAGAGCCACGATTTCTTTCATCGAGTTTGTAGGAGTTTTGCTCAGGTCGACTTCTTGACTTATCTCTGACGTCTGAGTCACGCTCTGCGTCTACGTCTACATCGTCTGTAAACCGAATTTTTCTTCGTTTGTTTGGTGCTTCGGTACCGGGAGCGATGTCATCATCATCGACATGATCAGCTTCTTCATCCTCCTCAATATCGGATAATTCATCGGGGAGTGTGGGCGGACAGCCAGGAGGCATTTTGATGACAGGCTGAAGATCCAGTGGAGGACCTGTCTTCTTCAATATACTATGGGGAAGTGACTCATTGTGAGGGCCTGAGGCGTCCATGGGTACCGCAGGAGGAAGCTCAATGCCGTCGTAAACGTCAGGGTGGTGTATGGATGGCATGTCCAAGTTGGGCAGGGGAATTTCATCCACAGTGACTGCCTGCGCGTGCTTCACTGCCTCATAATACTCGAGTAAAGTTTCGCGCTTCTTCTCATATTCTGCAACCATGCGCCTGATTTCCACCCAATATTCAGGATTTTCCTTCTCATAGAGTTTCATGACTCTATCTAATGTTTCACGCAGCTTCTTTCTTTTATCACTCAGAACTTTTTCACTTAATGACGGGGGAATTTCAACATTGTATTCTGCAAGAAGAAATTGAAAAATCAAATGTGCGATAAGGTACTTTAATGATGCTATAGATTCTGCACGATTTATAATTTAATTTTAATTCATAATTCAGGGGAACGATAGGTACTTAGATCAGTTGGTAAATAGGTAAACTGAAATTAACCTATCAAATGATTGATACTCAAAACGATTCAAAATAATTTATTACATAGCTTTATCTCAACATAATAACTATTATTGAATGTATGCAGCAATATTTTGAAACTATTTTGACAATTTCAAGATAGATGGGCAGAATTAATCCAAGATCACATCTTTATCAAACAATAGGTACCAATAAAATCAGATCACAAGCAGGTCTGCAACAACAGAGAGAGACCTGCCAACAACAACAACAGAGACCTGCAACAGAGAGAGACCTGAGTCCAACAACTGCCAGACTTCAAGGAATAATTTGATACAGCAATGTATAAACATTTAGAAAGTTCATGTAATGGCCACAGCAGAAGATTAGGACGCTTAGTCAGTTACAAATTCTAGACATTGCCGTATTTTAACAGCCAGCTGGATTTTCAAACCCATAACTTTCTGCTCCTGCTTTGCTATGCTAAAACACCTTGCCATAGCCATCTAAACAATTTAGACCCAAATTTTTACAGCTAGTTGGGGCTTGAACCTTCATCTTCTCTAAACTAGGTGATCACTTGGCAACTCAGAGACTGGGGGCTTCAAGTTTCAGCAAGTCTTCAAACCAAGGAAAAATTCACATAACATTCCACATTACTCACCCATTTGGTCCATTTTCTCCATTTCTATGATAAGCTGTGTTGGGTCTTTGCCTTTGAGAACAGCCGTGCGTACGGCCATGCGCTGCCGCTTATTTTTCTTCAGCTCCTTCTTTCTGGCTTCTTTTCCTGGAAAAGAAAAGAATAATTGCATAAACATAAATTTTTTTCTTTTTCTTTGCATGAAACATAAATGTACCTCTCAAATATACCTTGTATTTAAAAAAATAAAAAATTGGTAAAAGCCTGGATCATTCAGAGAAGATTTAACAATTGAATTGAAACAGTGGAAAGGCTGCTTCTCAATGCAAAATTAAGAATAATGAGAGTAGGAAAAAAGCAAGGAGAATCTCGGAGCATGGAATGGTTAGACCCTGGACACCCTCTTGTATAATCTAGCATAGCCTAAAAACCCAGCTCTCCTGTCACAGATTTTGTTATACTTATAGAAGCTGAATAAAAAATATTATAATACTAAAATAAATGCTTAAATTTTTGATAGAAAATTTAGAAGTTTACAATTAGTACCATCAATATCATTACAATACACAGAAATTGAATGTCACTGGTAGAATATAAAGGGATTGTCACTAGTTACTTTCAATTAGCAATATGAGCAATACCAACAATAAATCTAAAACCTGTCTGCTACTTTCATCTCTTATGAACATAAACATGACTAGAAATTACATCACAACCCTTCAAAGGCCAGCATAGAAATTTGCAGAAATTTAGATTTCTGAAAGCAGTACCATACATAGTATGAACAATTAAAAGATATATTTACTGAAAAATAGTTTCCAAATTTTACATATTGGAGGAGTGAATTGTGGTTACAAAATTCATTAATTGCAGTCACACTCACAACACTAATTTTGAAAAATAATGCAAATTTTAGCTTACAGATGGAAATAGTGGCTTTCTAATTTCAATCAAATTCGATTTCGTTGCATAACCTTCTATAATAGATATTGCTACTACTTCTGTCAATTAAAAATGCAGAAAAACTCAGTATCATCTTCAGAGTCAAAACTTTTATTTAAATGTTAATTTTTCAAATTTTGTGTCATTGTAGCAGGTGATGCCATGCATGGAACACTGGTCAGGTCAGATGATTGGTGATTGGCAGGGGCATTATAAGCTAGCCTCAAGCACATACAGGGGTCATGATGGGTTTTTTTAGAAGATCTCAAATGACCACACATGGCATCTTGTGAAAGGGTTACAAGGCATAAATTGTTCCATCGAGCAATAAGGCAATAAAGAAGTCCTAGCTCTGGGGAACCTTAACTTTCTGCTACACAAATTGTAATTTTGAATATTGACTCGATAATTATGTTCAGGATTTTATACAAATTATATTAAAAAAAGATAGTAGGTAGATAAAAACACCCCTGAAAAAAATTCAAATAAATACAGAAACTTCTGTGGTGTCCAGCAATGATAAGTTGTAAGTTTAAAGCTGGTGCAAATCATGTTTCATAATTGAAAAATTGGGGTGATCTGTAACACATACTTCTAACTGAAGAAATTCATTTCAATAAATAGTTACATTCAATAATCACAAGAGTAGAGTATGTAAAGTCAATACTTACTTGCTTGATCTGTAGGGTTCATATATTTACCACTCTTGGTGGTATTGATGTTGCGACGACCCATTTTGTCAGTAGCAGTTCAACTTTTCAGTTAATACAAAGCTTATCAAATGAATGATCTAAATGGAAAAAAGAACAAAGAACAAATTAAATAAAGAATTTCACGCAGCAATCTTCTGCCATTTAAACAACTGGTAATAAAATGCAATATTTTGGAGCCAGCTCTAGAGCAAGCTAAATTTTTTTCATGGTTTTAGTTATGATTTTGAGTCTAAAAAATGTTGCTGCTTTGCCATTATGCTCTGAACTGTAACCAATGGGCCATCCAAAATAGATTTTTTTGTACTGGAATTTTTAGTAGAAATAGATCAGTAGATTTTTGACTGGCGGCAGTCTGCATCTAATGTGCAAAACCTATACAGCGAGTCCCCAGTTAACAAACAGGCTTTGTTCCAGAAAGCTGTTCATAAACATATTTGTTGGTATGTAGAAAGTGAGGCATACAGTTATGGTTATGGTTGGTTATGGTACAACCAGCTATACTGTCAAACATACCAGTAAAAATAATACCTGTATTATAGTATATCTACTGGTGATTTCATATGTGCTTTAAACAACCTTCAAATACCCTGTTTCAATAAATAAAATTTGTAATAATAAGTGATAAATAATAACTACAATTTTTAGGATCTAGCTAACAACACAAATAAAAAGGAGCATATAGTTGATGACCTGCAATACACTGCTCATGTTTGCTCCTGCTGCCATCCTTTGACAGGCATGCAAACTATCCTCATGGACAGGCTTTGGAGTTGTGGACAGGCTGACAGCTTTGTATGTACCAAAGTTCACAACTAGGGAGTTCATATCCTGGGGATACGGTGTACACCCACTGAGCCACAACAACATTTGTAGAGCAACAAATTTTTGCACTTCTTTAATTCTTAAGTTCATTTTTGCAAGCCCTGAATGCCATTTCTAGAGTGCAGACCAAGTAAAACAATTTTTGAGTCACAAACTCATTTGCAAACCAAGAATTTATTTGCCAAACCAAGCATATGTATCATGCCAAATATCTAATTTTACTCTAAAAGAAGCAACAAGAACTTTTTTCACTCAAGAGGCTTTGAAGCAAGTGATAATGTATTTTCTATATTTCTGTCAAAGAATAAAGCAGTTATACCATCAAACAAGGTAATAAGGGGTGATTTTGAGCGTTTCCCATTAATAACTTTTTACCATGAAACATTTCTTAAATGGGTTTGGGCCCATTTTAACACTTTGACTGCGATTGCTTCATCTCGTACTATTATTTCATTTGTACTATTATGAAACAAGATTGCCAGTCTTTTTTTCTGGACAAATTCCGCGATTTAGTTTTTTGTCAATTGAGTTGGCTGGCTAAAATTTATGATAGGGGTACTTCCTAGTTACATTTAAATAAGAGGGAAATGGAATAGTTACACCGGAACCTAAAAATATACTAGTACATATATTGAGTTATAGACCTTTTTTGGCATTTTAGGTTCGCAGACTTGGCCATATTTTAGGCCAGCTGGCAACCCTGAATCATGCACCACTACGTCCTGAAGAAATACATTTCCTGGTACACATATGGCCCAATACGCGGGGAACGTGTTATAGGTCTTTGCGAGGGCTATTGTATGGCATCACCAAAACCAAAAAAATTCCATATGCTATTTGTAAGGTGCCAGAGGCAAAAGAAAAGCATCACTAATTACCCCTGGGAATGGGGCAATTTGGGGCACTTGAAATAAAACTTAATTTTAATATGTTTGAAGCATGCAGAGTGTACTCATCCATTACTATCAGTACTCCAAGTCCTCTTCATTTGTAGATGTTGAATAAATGACATTTTCTGTGATTTGTACTTGTTTTTCCTTTATTGATATATGATACCATTTCCGTACATTACCATATTACCATACGGTATATTACCATATTCCGTACATTACCGTATCCATGGACATGCCATTGAGCACTGACAATGACCTTGTCCACTGCAAGCTTCATAACATCATACATATACCGTCAAAGGGGGTAATAAGGGACAGGTGGAGTAATAAGGGACAATCCTCAACATTCCATAGAAATGTTGTAGCAGCTAAACTGATTAAAATATTGCAAAACTAAAAATAGTGGCATAAAGTTCAATATTTTTCCTATATGTAGCATAAAGCAAGTTAAGAAATCATACATTTATAGACTGCCACTTGATATATTTAAATATATGTATGAAAAAATAAAAAAATAAAAAAATCATGATTTTTATAAAAAAATCAAGTGATTTAATCATTTTGATTTAATCATTGCCAACCCTGGTAAAAATCACAGAATATGTTGTTTATTCTAAATCTACATACGTAATCTAAAAAGAAAGAGGACCTATATTTCAAGTTTTATTTTATTTCAAGTGTCCCTCATTATCCCATTCCCAGGGTTAGTTCAGGAGGCTTTTATTTTTTGTCTGGCACCTTACAAATAGCATATGGAATTTATTCAGAGATGCCATACAATAGCCCTTGCACACCCCTTTAAAATGAGCCCAAATTTGTTTATGAAATGTTTTGTGGTAAGAAGTTATTAAGGAATAATGCTCAAAACTGTCCCTTATTACCCCATTTGACAGTATAATTTTTTCTGTATCATTAAGGGGAGCGTCTGGGTGGTGAAAAACTTTTTTGTTTACAGATGGATCGTTTTGAAACTTGGTACACATATATAAAACAGAATTCTAAGACGTTTTTGTTCATGTAAATTTTTTGAAAAAAAATGAAAGAAAATGTGAAATTCTTAGAAAACGACAAAAAAGGGGTACAGTAGAAAACTATCTCCTAGGATTTTGAAGCTACAACATCGATACGCATATCATTCAATGCGTAAGGACCATATCTATCGATTTTGGACCCAGACGCTCCCCTTAAGGGGCGTGTCTTGGTCCAAAATTGACAATTTTGGCTTTTCCGGTTTTTAATCTCATCTTAAAGCTGACATTCTGACAGGGTTGGCGATTTTTTTGATTTAAAAAAAAAATCAAAAATCAATGATTTTTGGATTTTTTCATGATTTTTTTTATTTTTTTTATTGTTTCAGCTTTTTTGTCTTTTTTTAGGTGTTATTTTTTATGTTGCAATTAGCCTACTAAGAATAAAAGTATTTGGATCATAATGGATGGCTAAAAAGGGCACTTATTGCCTTCAATAATGGCGAACAGGCCACGGTGGTGTTTACCACTTTGGGATTTTTGGGTAAACAATTATTGATAAGTCTATTCATTAGCTTTGTAAAGTTTTTATGGAGCAAGGTAATGAGCTAAATAGTGACCATTTAACTGGCTTCAATATACAAAAACACTTCAGGAATGCAGATCTTCTAAACATTGAA